AGACTGTTAGGCCTGAAGCTTGGGGAACTTCACTTCCATGGCATTCCATCAGTGAAAGCCATTCACAAGGCCAGCCCTGATTCAAGGGGAAGGCAAACAGACCCCATGTCTCAATGAGAGGAGTGGCAAACTTACATTGCAAAGGAGCAGGAGAATCGTTGTGACCATCTTAGAAACCAGTCCACATACATGATTCGAAAGTTGTACCATAACACTGGTAATATAGATATTCGACTTTCTACTTAAGGTGAAGAGTCTCTGCAAATGGTTATCACGCTTGGCTGCTAATTGAAAGGTTGGAGGTTCAAGTGCACCCAGAGGTGCTCCGGAAGAAAGGCCTGGAGATCTACTTTCAAAAAATGAGCCATTGAAAACCCCATGGAGCATAGTTCTACTCTAATACGCATGGGATCACCATACGTCAGGATTGACTGCTCGGCAACCGGTTTATTGGCTTTACTTAAGGTAAACCCAGTAAAGCTTGTTAAAGATAATTCACTACAAAGATACTCTTAGGATTAATTTTTAAGCGTTCCTGACATAAAATATTGAATATTTAGCTTGGTCAAAGATGCAGGGATTTGGCTCTCTGGGGAAGTCTGGAATCAGTAACCTCCTTACCATTTGTTTGGGGGAGTTTCCACATGGAATTAATTCATGCTTGCATACGTTTATTCATGCATATATTTTTACATGTATTCCTATGTGAAACCCTGAACTAGGTACTGCAAGAGGCTAAAGCAAGATTATTTAAACAATGTTTCTAAATTTAAAGTATAACCGTTGACAGTTACCCCTTTCTATAATTTATTTTCTCTTTTTGTTGTTGAACAACAACAAACAGCAGGACCTACACTGTGATGGTTAAGATTGTGTGTCAGCTTGCCCGAGCCATGATTCTCAGTGTTAATATGTGATCACCTCCATGATGGGCTCTACTGTGAGTAGCCAGTCAGTTCAAGGGGAGTTTCCTTGGGCGTGTGGCCTGCACCTGAATATAAGTAGACATTCTGGCTTTTGCCTACCTTGGATCCTGCAGTTGGCTCCTGTTCATCTGACCTCCAGTTCTTGGGACTTCAGCTAGCAGCTTACCTGCTGAACTTGGGATTCGTAGATCTTCAAACCTGTGAGCAAGTGCCCTGCTCTCTGACCTGTTAATCTTGGGTTTGCCAGCCCCTATGTGAATCAGGAGAAGCCTCTTTCCTGATCCACGGATTTGGGATGTTCAGCCTCTACAACTGCCTGAGCTGTTTCCTTGATATAAATCTCTCTCTACATATATTTATACACTTTACTGGTTTTGTTTCTCTACAGAACCCAGCCTAAGACATCCACTAATTCAACAATTTCTACATACATCATTTGGTGATACTGATTACATTCTTCAAGTTGTGTAACCATTCTCACTCTCCTTTTCTGAATTGTTTCTCCCCCATTAACATAAACTCACAGACCTCTAAATTTCCTATCTAACTTTTCAAGTTGCTGTTAGCAATTTGATCTCATGTAGATAGTTCTTTAAAAGAGTACAATGTCAGGCAGACATTCTTTACTAATAAACTATTGTTTTGTTTGAAGAAGACTTCATGCAAATATTTTTGGCTAAAGGTTTAAAGATTATTTCATAGCAACAGTTTTGGGGGTTCATCCAGCCTCCATGTCTCCAGAAAGTCTGGATCTCATGAGAATTTGAAATTCTGTTCCACTTTCCCCCTTTTGATCAGGATTCTTCTATAGAATCTTTCATCAAAATGTTCAGCAATGGTAGCAGAGCACCATCAAGTTCTTCTGGTCTCATGACAAAGGAGGCCATTGTTCATGGAGACAATTAGCCATGCATTCTGTTTCCTCCTTCTATTTCTGACTACTCTTCTTTCTCTGTTGCTCCAGGCTAATAGAGACCAACTGCTGTACCTTTGATGGCCGCTTACTAGCTTTTAAGACTGCAGACATTATGCAACAAACTAGGAAGTAGAACAGAAACACTAAATACAATATTAGGCCAATTAACTGAGCTGTCCCATGAAACAGTGACCCTAAACCTCCAAACCAAGAAACCAAGTCCCATGAGGTGTCTGGTTGTATATAAGCAGCCTCAGCAGCTGCTCTTTCATTGTTGTTGTCATTGTTGCAAATGTATATATCACACAACATTCACCAATTCAACTTTTTATAGGTGTACAACTTATTGACATCTATTATTACATTAATCAGCTGTGCAACACTCAAGCTTAATCAATGCAAATTTTCCAACACTGTAAACAGAAACTCATTGTTCCATAAGCAATAATCCCCCTTTCCCTCTCTCTTCCACTTCTGGTACCACTAATCAACTTTGGTCTCTATACATTTGCCTGTTGTTGTCTTTTTATATAAGTGAGGTCATATAATATTTATCCTTTTGTGATGACAGTTACCCCTTTATTCTTATCTGTGCTAATACCAATAGGATCAAATTATCCTTTGTAATGTATTCAGTCTGTACTTTTTAAAAATCTCAGCTGTCTATTCTTTTCCTTTAAGTGATACCTCTTTTTGTTCTTTCCGTCTAAACGTCTATTAAAAAGTTGTAACTCTAATGGGATGCAAAAATAAAGAAAATGTCTAATACCATACTCCATATGCAGACACCCAGAGATATCCATCGTCTTGAACTTATACTTAAAGCAAAATTAGATATGGAGGGAAAAGGCAGAGACTGAGTAAGACATTAGACTGGGCTACAGAGCTATGACTGTTTAGTAGCCAGAGTATTTAATGGCAGCCCACACAAATCTTGGGCATTTTGTGACTTTTTGGTGGCTGGTACAAATTTGCTTACCATTCATTCATCCAAAATATATTTATTGTGATTTTACTATGGGCTGTTCTAGGTGAGGAATATTACGGTGAATTAAGTCAAAGTCCTTGTCCTCATGTAACTTCTATTCTAGTTAGAAGAAACAGAAAGCAACAGATAAGTGGTCTGCCAGGTAGGAATGAACAGTATGGAGAAAAATAAAGATAAAGCAAGGGTTAAGCAGATGAGGCGAAATCAACAATAGAGCCTGAGAGCGGATGGACAGCGAGGTAAGAGGAAAATCAAGATGGAGTGGTGTCTTATTGGCTAAGTGAGGAAAGTATTTCATGAAAAGAATAATAATTGTTTCAAACGCTGCTGAGAGGTCAGATGAGGACTGAGGACTGGCCATTGTGTTTAGCAATGTGGAGGTCATTGATGACCCTGCCATGAGGTTTTTCATGAAGTGGTAAGGAGAAAAGCCAAATCAGTTTGAGTTGAAAAGAAAATGGGAGGAGACGAGGGGGAGTCAGAGAATATAGAAAACTCTTGAGCACTATCTTAGTTACCTAGTGCTGCTGTAACACAAATGCCATGTGGGTGGCTTTAAAGAACAGAAATTTATTTTCTCACATTCTGAAGGATAAAAGTCCAAATCAGGTTCTTGGCCGTGCCGATTCCTTCCTTGTGAGTACTCTAAGTGTTCCTGGGTGTTCCCTGGCTTGGAGACGATCCTCACATGGCCTTTCTCTTCCCTCATGTGCGTAAGAAGTGATTAGGTTCAGTATCTACCCTACACTGGCAGGGCTGATTAACATAACAAAAAATACCTATTTCCAAACAGGATCACAGCCACAGATACAAGGTCCAGAAATTAGACACATATTTTTGGGGGACACAATTCAATCCATAACAAGGATTTTGTGCTAAAAAGGGGTTCTGAGAAATGAATGATAATTGGAGAGGGATGTGGGCCAAGAGAGAATTTGTATGATAGGATATATTACAGCATGTTTGGTGCTGATAGGAAGGGTTCAGTACAGTGTGAAAATTGTTGATGGGGAAAGAAAGGGGCAATTGCTGTGATGATGTCCTTGAGTAGCTGAGAAAGATAGGTTCCTTTAGACCAGAGTTCTTCATTTTCATAATCATGTCATAAAAGAAATGATGTCACTAAAATTTTTGAGTATGTGCCAAAAATATATATGCGTATATTTTTGAATCTTATTTATACCCTATGGTAATAGCCTGTTAAATGTGCATTTCAAAACATACATAAAAATAGGAGCAAATACTATGGAGATAAAACATATAAATAGAAGACCCAGTATTTTCTCTACACACCCCATGGATAGTCTTATTTACATATCCCTTAAAGAGCACACACCTGAATTTGGGGTCCTTACCTTCAGATAATGACAGTGATTTATCAAAAGCAGTTAGAAGGAAAACATTTGGCCTTTCAGACTTGAGAATCCAAGTTCTCCTTTCTTGATTTCTAATCTATGGAAGTGTTTTGACCTTAATCAACCTTATGACTTTAAATGTAACCAGCTTGAGATGATTTAGTTAAAAGTTCTAATTCAAAAGCAGACTCTTCAAATGCTCCTGGAGGTTACAGTTGCCCCCATGTAATGTCACAAGATGCAAAAGAATACTCAGAAAGGAAAACAACCATATTTCAATTTTTATTTATTGCCATTGGGTCACTTCTTAACCATGGTTCATTCTATGACTTTCTCTGAATCTTATGATTAAAGGACAAAAGTGCACATCTCATCACAGGTATACAACTAAAATCTTTTAACCACATGACAGGAAGAATAAGAAATGTATTCTACTTCTTCTGTAGTTTCTGTGTAAAAAATGGCCATTGACAGGTAAAGTGCAAACTAAAGAGGATCCCCAGTTTGCAAAGAGTTTAAGTGACAGGCACTGGAGCTGTTCCCACATTGTTATCCTCTGGAAAATATGTTTTCTAATTATGAGGCTGAAATTACTGGCACAAAGACATTGTTCTGTGAATGGCTAATTAATATAATGAAACAATGTTGTCAAGTTGAACCACAGTCAAAGTCTTTAAAGTGGTCAAAGGAATCCTTCCCACAGTTCCAGTGTAAACCCAGTTGTAAATTAACATCTCCAGGAGTGTCAGACAACCATGACGTACAATCATCACGTTCACCAGTATGGATGCTTTTCTCAAAGGGTCTAGATTCTCCTAAATCAGCTTCTCCAACGCAAGTGGTGGCATCATGCTCCACATTTCCACTCGAGAACCCTCCTTTTCCTGGCGGCTCGGGCTGTAGGTTCCCTGAGTTGCCCTTTTCTTGGAGGCTACAACAGAAGCCACAACTGCCAGAAAGAGGATCAATAACAAGGCTAATGTCACTGAGCCAATTGCGGTGAAAACAGCCGAGATCAAGTCATCTGCCAACTGGAAGGATTGAAACAATTGAGGTATAAATTATAGAGCAAGACAAATGTTCAGGACAATGGAACTACCCTGGAATGGAAACCAGTCAGAGCAAGTGGGTGCTGCTCAGTGTTGTATAAAGATCAAGGTACTAATGGGAAGCCAGAATTTCTTATTCCAGATCATGAGAAAATGATTACAGATCTGCATCTAAGGTTTGTAGTCAGAAAGTGTGGCATGAAATATCTACTGTATTTATTTAATGTATTAAGCCCAGTGAAGAGATCATTCATGTGACATCAAGTGCAAAAGATGAAACCACATGCATATTTATGAAATATTTCTACATCCATAGGAACATATTATTCAGACTCTCTTCCCTCCCTTGCCAAATGTTCTGATTTTGAACTGAGGGAATGGTTGTTGTACAGTCTTTTGTTGGGAAGGGAAGCAAATTAAATTAGTTGGGCCTCATGGGAAAGATCCAGAGACAGAGGACAGCCTGTGATGAGCTGGTTTTGCAGGCAGTTTCCACAGTCATCGCTTTGATTTGGATTCAGTATGACAATTGAATGGTTGTAAAAGCACATGAGCTCAAGGCTGAACCCAAATGTTTAGAAACAGAAAACTGCAGGTAGAATCCTGTCAGGAGAAGCTGAATACTGGGCTTTCAGTGGTGTTATTTGTACATAATGGTTTGTTCAATGTTGATTCCAATGCATTTATCAAGCACTTCTTAGCAAAACTGAACTCTATCAGTTTACAATGGGTAACATGAAACTGTGATTTAGTTGCAAAGAAATACCAAAGGCAAGAAGCGGTTGCTATTTGAATTGCTAGTTTTCAAAGAAATGCTTCTCTCAGAGTAAAATCAAGAGTAAACCATTTTACCGTCTCATTTAGCTTTTTTATGCCCCATCTCCCCAATCGCTCTTTACCAAACGAATCTGCTACTACAAATGGAATTTTTGTTTGTTTATTTTAACATCTCAGGGAATTTTAAATATCCTTGCTAGCCTTAGTTTCCCCTCCACTACGCCTCTGTCTTGAATAAAACACTGGAATCTCTTCCTAATGTTGTCTTGGGTCTATTCAGTATGAGACTTGCTCAAATGTGGTTCATCAGTTTGTTTGTTCATTCAATAATATTTATTGACCATCAGCTTTGTACCGAGCTAGGAAATGAAAATACAAGATAAATCAAAGTTTAAAATTTGGAGCTGAGATTCTGGAAATGGAAGAAGAGAAGGAGACACATATATATACAAATAATCATGATACATTATAAACATGTGTTAGGGTATTGTCATAAATTAATTGTATTGGGTTGTGAGTGGAGTCAAATTGGAATGAGGCATTTGATAGTTCTTTGTAGGATGAGTAGACATTTACATATTTCAAGTAGAAAATTCTATTTGGATGAAACAATTTGAAATAAAAAAAGGAAGGGAATATAAAAATACTCAGAATTTGGAGAAAGAGTATATAATCCAGTGTGACCAAAAGTATCGTCCATAAATGTTGGAATTGGAAAGGATTGAAAGAGTTGGTGAGAGCTAAAACTGCAAAGTAAATTAATCTTGTTAAGGAACTTGAATGCCACGCTGAAAATTTGGACATTGTCTTGTAGGCAGTGGGGAGCCACTGAAGATTTTTAGGCAAGAGCATGATGTGATAAGATCTGGGTTTTATTAATTTGGCTCTGGACGTGGGGTGGAGGATGGGTGGGAGTGGAGAAGCTGGAGGTAAGGAAAATAGAAGTTTATTTTATTAGTCATGATCTATATCTAAATTTAGCAATAGAGTGAGAATTGAAGGAAAAAAATGATTGAGAGATTTCTGAGTTAGAGTCAGCTTCACTCCATATCTGATTATGTGTGGGTGGGGAGTATCAGTCAATGACAGGAAAAAGGTAAAGCTAGTTTCCACCTTGAATGAGGGTGTGAATTTGGATGTCATTAACTGGGATTGAGGACATAGGAGCAGAAGCAAGTTTGAGTAGAAAGACAATGAATTCAGTTTGCAAAAAGCCAATTTTAGGTTCCGAGAGAACGTTCATGGGCCCTGGTGATGCAATGGTTAAGTGCTCGGCTGCTAACCGAAAGGTCTGCAGTTAGAACCCACCAGCCCTTCCTTGGGAGAAAGATGTGACAGTCCGCTTCCATAAAGATTTACAGCCTTGGACACCCTACGGAGCAGTTCTACTCTGTTGTATAGGGTCACTATAAGTCAACTCAACTGCAGCAGGTAAGGGGTAGAGAACATTCAGGTGTATAGTGCTATTAGATAGCTTGAGATAATTCCTTCCCCCTCTCCACTTTCACATTACTGTGAAAAATTCAGGTCATAACAGATTTTCATTCTCCAGTTACTGGAGCTTTATGAGTAAAGCATATAGAATTTCACAGAAGTCAGTAGGTTTTAAGAAAATCAGTTTACCTCAACCAAAGGGTAAGATCTCCAGTCATTCTGTGTAGCCATCCTTCTGTGAGTAATTACATCTTCTGTTTTAAGATAAGTGTAAATTGGGAAAAACAGAGACATAGACTGGGCCTTGAGAAGTCAAAAGCATGGGACACAGATGGTTAGCTGGAATCTGACCAGTGAAAACCCTTGGTATTATCTAAGGACCTTTACATAATGCACACTCTTGTTGCTAGATGTTAACTTGATTTTAATCTGTCAAATAAAGTGTGTCATCCATGGGAGTCAATGGCTGTTTTCCTGGATGAGTGAGCTAAGAGTGTCCACGCCCATGCAGAGAAGAGAGAAATCCCTTGGCTTGCCTCTGTTCTCTGAGCTCTTCCGGGCCCTTCTGGGACTGATAACACCTGGGAATCTAAGGCAACCTAGACACTCTCATCTGCTACATTACACTCTTCGTCCTGGAAGGTGGAACCCAAGAGGGAAAAAGAGTCGTAGACATAGGCCTGAGTCTCTGTAGACCTACAATCAGGTGAAACAGGGCTGATCCTCTCCATTCATCCTGTGACCTCTGAGGAACCAGGACCTTTGTCTACATTTCCCTGTTGTTCTCAGAAATGTAAAAATGAAAGAGCAAATTCAAGGCCCCATCACTGCCTCTCCTGGCTGTGTGATGAGGTGGTTCAGAGCTTGATTTCTTGAGGCAGAGGCCTGGGTTTGATTTGCAGCTCTGCCACTTAGTTGTGTAAAACTGGCATTACTTTACCTCTCGAAGACTCATTTTCATCACTTGTAAAACTGGATATTAATATCTACTTCAAAGGATGGGACTTAGTGAAACTCAATGAATGGAAAATACAGAAAGCAAAGTGGACAGTAAACTCCCGACACATAAAAATATTAGTAGCCACTAATATGCCGTATATCATTATCCCTAAATTCTATTTACTTGTAAAAGATAAAACTAAACTCCCTTAGTACCTGGCAGTATGACAAGAGAGCCAACCTACAAACCTAATATTGCAATTCCAAGCCTCAGATAAAGTTTTTGATGGAACAGTTCCCCTAACTATATCAAATAGGACACGTCATTAAGCTTTGGAGTAAAGCTGAATGAGTAGGGTTTTGAAATAGCCTCTTAAGGGACCAGTGCTTTTGAATCTCCATGGTTGAAAGGCCTTTCTTTTTTTTTTTTTTTGCTCTGCTATTCTTCAACTGTGCTTAAAATATACACAGCAGCGGAATGGATTTTTTGATAGTTGAAACCGCTGTGACACAGAAACTGAGGGAAGCCTGCAAGAGCGGGGAGTGTCCCAGAAAACGGCAAAGATTTAAGGCCAGGCCTGTTTGGGTGGGCTGTGCTTCGAACACTGCACTTTTGAATAACCTTTCTTTCTGAAAAGAAATACCTCAACTTAATTACAAATAGGATGTAAAATTACTTTTGAAGAAATGACGTGTGCTGCGATCTGTATTCAGTTATCCCACTAACATCATTTAAAAATGCATTTTATGTGGTTAATTTGAACTGTGATTACTTTGAACTCTTTATCTGAAGAATAAAATAAATTGTTTTAACTTTTTCCCCCTAAAGAAGGTTCATTCTGAAACACTGTGGCCTATATATGACCCAAGGCAAGGCTACCCTACGGCATTCTGAAGTGAAACAGTCAAAACTTATTTTGAATTTTCTCACCTGAGTACTCTGTGCGGAAGGGTGCTGCAACAATACATTTGCTTGTTTTTTTTAAATTCCTGGAAAGGAATTTCATAATGTGTTTCTTCTGAAGGGAGCCTGGAAACAGCATGCTCTTCCTAAACAGACTGAAATGGATCTGAATCCAGTTTTGCCCCTTGCTGAGTATATTTAGCCTCTATATGTTGTTTCCTCATCTGTAAAATGGGGACATTGATGTTGTTGTTAGATGCTGTCAAGTCAATATTCTACTCACAGCAACCCCACGTGATAGAGTAGAACTGCCCCATAGGGTTTTCTAGGCTGTAATCTTTACAGGAGCAGACGGCCAGTTCTTTCTCCTGTGGAGCTGCTGGGTGGGTCCAAACAGCCAACCTTTTGGTTAGCAGTCAAAGTGCTTAACCACTGTGCCACCAAAACAAAAAAAAAAAACCAAACCCATTGCTCTCGAGTTGATTCCGACTCATAGTGACTATAGGACAGAGTAGAACTGCCCCATAGGGTTTCAAAAGGAGCGCCTGGTGGATTCGAACTGCCGTAGTGGTTAAGAGATAGCAGCTGAACTCTTAACCACTATGCCACCAGGGTTTCCTTGTGCCACCAGGGCTCCTTAAATTGGGGATAATAACTCCCATATCTTAGTATTCTTCTGAGGATGCAGCATTCATGTGCATAAAGAGCTTCTCGTGGTACCTAGGCACAGAATGATTATTCCATCCATGGTGGTTCTCCTGTTACTCCTGTGACCCTGCCATGGCTCATTTGCCTTGTCCAGCTTGGGTTCCAGATGTCCTACCATCTACCACCTACTCTCATGAAAATGTCAGTGCTTGGAGTCAAGCTTGAGAACGGTGTGGGGCATCCCATTACCACCTCACTGAAATGATTCAGAGCTGCCAGA